TGGTGTTAATCATTTAGGATGCACGTGAACGCACACAGAGATAAAGTCCAACAGTTAATGCAGTAAGGTTCATTATGTAATGTACAGTACAAGCCATCCAAGCCTTTGTTGTAAGTACTTTACAAGGATTTCTTGAGACTAAGACGGTATAAAATGTCTTATCTGAACAGATCAGTACAAGAACAGTACTTTTAGAGCCTACACTTCTAAATGTGATTAAAGCTGCTTCCACAGCTATTTTACAGATGCTATAAGGAAACAGTCATTACTGGATCAGTGGTCTTGTGATACATATAAAAACAAAGTAGAATTACAAAGTGCGCTCATAAAAATAGAATCAAATATAAGCAAAGAAAAAAATCCAAAGCTAGCCAAAAGAACCCAATACTGCAAAGACAGATGCATCTATCAGTGTAAGCACAACGTAAAATGGTTCCCCCTTTTATGCTGGTTGTAACATCTTTTGGCTTCAGGAATAAACCCAAATTCCTCTCTCTTTCTTTTCTTTCACAAACAGGCAATTTAAAATGCATTTTTAATTACAGTAGCAGGCAGACAAATATTTTGGAGAGCTATTACTTGTAACTAAATGAAATAATTACTGATAATGAAATGTTAACAGACGTATGGGAGTATACCTAATGCTCCTGTTCTCTTCTAGTAGGTCTGGATTGGATATAGTGCAGTTTAAATGTTTTTATGCTCAAACAGTGTTATGTAAAATAGTCAAATATGGAATAAGTGCAATAAACCATGAAACCATCACTTACCTCCTCCATGACTCTGACACAGGTAGGGGAACCGCCAGACATTTCCAAGTCCCACACAAAACCCAACACAGGTCAGCATGTACTGGGCCTTGTTGTCCCATTTCGGTCTGTCTCCAGCCTCTTCCTCTTCCAGCTTGTCCAGCTGCTCATGGGACATTATCCTGTCCTCCAGGCCTGGGTTGGGGAGTTTTAGCTTCATGATATATCAAACACTGTAGTATTGTAGTGATACAGTAGTGTACTGTCCAGTGCCGGAATGTTAATTGTGGCTCACACTGCAAGATCCTAAATATGTATTAGGCCTCTGTAATAGATTGACTAGGCTGTGGCGTCAGAGAGCATCAGCTCGAACTGTGCAACCTTTGAAGCGTAAGCTGAGCAAGAATACGCATGACAGTTAACTAGTGTGTTATCTGATGGGAAGGGTCAATGCACAGAAACCACTGCTCTTTTAAGGATTTATTGTATGTTAACACCTTAAAGAGTCTTTGGTCATACAGTAAGGGCTTGGTATCACATCTAAGTAGTTTTTCTATGATCAACAGCATAACATCCCATATGAAGCGTCAGTAACTGTTGTATCAAGAGTTAGTGAATGATTACAGTACACATTATATAATTACATAGCTTCAATGGCATATACGAACACACACAAATAATGAAGACATACTGAAGCTTCGTTCATGACCTTGAAAACGATTGACAAAAACATTCTTTACTCACATAACCGTCAGTCTGATCTCATGGCCTTCATCAGCAGATGGAGTTACTTATTGGTCATGAAGATGAAAGAAGCTTATAGAAATACACACTTCAGTCAACAAATTTCTGTTCATGAATGCTTCACAGGAGGAGTTAGGCCAATGAACACTTAGAAATGGCCTGTTTCCAACTACATTATTATTATTATTATTAACCAAGACTATATCTGTCTCATATTTTTCAGCTGTCTTTGGTAGGTCTGTTTGCTGTATACTATCATCTTTCTAGGTATAATATGTCAGTTTAGTTTTAGAGTTTTTTGAATGCATAAACACCAACAGTGATTCTTGAAGCAATATCTCTGAAACCACAAACACCAGCCAATCCATTTACCTGGTGTGCCAAACTGAATACACGTTCTCTGCTTTAAAGGTCTAGTGTGTAGGATTTGGTGGCATCTAGTGGTGAGGTTGCAGAAAGGAAACTTCTTCTGTGTGCCAAACATGTGGGAGAACTATGGTGGTCGATGCAAAAAACGCAAATGTCCTTATGTAGAGCCAGTATTTGGTTTGACTGTTACTGTTGAAACAACATGGCGGACTCCATGGGAGAGGACCCCCTCCGTATGTAATATAAACAGCTCATTCTGAGGTTATTTTCAAGTGATTATAAACTGATGAAAACATAGCTGTGAGTATTATATACCATTTCTGCCAAAAGATGCTCCTAAATTCTACTCACTGGACCTTTAAACTCAGTTTGCAATGTAATAACTCTTATAGGTAAAAAGGGAACATTATTCTTAAAATTGCAACTCTATTTTGCCAATTGTCTTTTCACATTGATATGTTAAAACACTTTTAGATCATGAGTTTACTTACAAAACAGAGCTTGAGCACTATAAACATGCCACAGGTAAACATTTGGCTTGGACAACAATGAAAGCCCCTATTGGGCAAAGAGATGTGGATGAAGTCTTAAGGCCAGATCCACAAAGAAGAGGACATTTACCTTATTTTTCTGTGTGTGTGTGTTTTTTTTCCTGACATAATGCTTTTTATTCTACTGCACTTTAATTGTTCAAGGTGTGTTATAACATTTTGAAAAACAAAAACAAAACCTTTACTGTTTCTACATTGATTGTATGTTATATTTGGAACATCCATAATTTACACATTTGGGTACCTGTGTGTATGTGTGTTTACTACATGTATGCGAAACTGTATTGTAAACTGCAATGTCCTGTGCACAGAAAAAGCAATAGCCACAAGTGTTTTTCATCGAAACCATCAGTGCTCGTTTGTACTTAATCTAATGATGGTTTGTGTGTACTGTACTGATGCAAATACACAATTTAAAAGAGTTTAATGAGTTGTACAATGTTTGCTTTTGCAAGAGATGTGTAATGTTTTGCTGGTGTTGTGTAGTGTTTTGTGGTTAGAGAGTTGTGCAAAAATAGCCTACAGTTTCAAAGATAGTGCCTAAGCAATCAGAAAAAACAAAACTGTAAACAACACTGATTGTATGATTCACCAGAGTCATTACCAAATTCGGTGCAGTGCGTTTTGTGTACTTCTCATTTTGGCCACTGGAGGCCGCCATTACGCCTGTAATATGAGCTGAGCCGGCCGGCTGAGGTCTGGCTGCTGTGTCGCCTGGCAGAGTTAATGCTTGAGGAGGGAGCCGCTTCCCATCGCTCTCACAGACCAGGCGCCAAGTGTAGCAGTCCCGTCCGCAGTCTGCCTCAGCACCTCTAACGCCATGCCCAGGGATACTGCCGCCCCGCTCATTTTCACACCGCACTGACTAACCGTATCTCTCAACGAGGTACCCTGGATCTTTACTTCTGGACTGTTGGTCCACTGTTCCGAGTCCTCTGCGCTGCGTGAAGCGAATGGAGAAGGTCCAAGGATAACAGAGGGTGCAGGATTTTGCTACTGCAGAAGACCTGCCGGTGGTACGCTGCCCGGGGGGCTGCCTGTCTGTCAGAGGCTGTGGTGTCGCATCCACTTTTTTCATGATCTGAAATCGCTTTGCATGGATACATCATGGCTACGTTTATATGCAGGGTACAGTTCTTAGATGATACTGATCCATTTAACAGCACCAATTTCCCCGAGCCCACCAGACCACCTCTGTACACCTTCAGGGAAGATATTCCTCTGATTAATCAGATTGCTGGAGTCCACAGGCTGCTGAAAGCTCCGCAGAAGGTATGATGTTTTTGCATGACTGTCTAAATGAGCTTAGTGAAAAGTTAACACCCACAAAATGCTAAATTAATAATTAGCTTGAACATATTGGTTGGGTTGCTACCAAACAAACCTAATGGACCATTGATTGAGCCTGTGACTTGGAACAGCTTGCTATTATGGGATGCTGATGGAGCATGGGCATGTATTAAAACAGTTATTTCAGGCACAGTGTCAATAAGAAAGGCCTGTGATATGATATTATAAAGTGTTTGGTGGCTTTGGTGATGTTGGAGTGATGTAGACACCCATTATTTGGCTGAGGGACAGGCATCTGTTAATGTTTACCACAACACTAATCCCCTCAGTTTGACCTGCTTTTCTTACTATCCATTAGCTAGACTTGGGGAAGTCTTTCAAAATTTAGAAAAGTTTTGTCACAGTAATTTTATGTAAGAGAGAAGAAACAAAGAAGGAAACATATAACGCAAAGATGGTATATCCTGGTTATTAATAATGATTGTTTACTTTTAATCTTCCCTCAACCTTCAAGTGGGGTTCTGCTTGCCTTATCTATGGGCTAAAAGAAAAGTATTTCATGGATAAGGAGCCAACTTTGCATTTGTGGTACTATGAATGGGCAGGTCAATGAAGAAAGCCACTTCTGGTATTGCCACTACACAGCCCCAATTCGAGTAGGGGGGGTCAAATGCCCAGTTGGTCAGTTGATGAGGGATGGAAGAGGGTAATTCCCTACCCGGTTTGTCCTAGATCTGGGGATTTGAATTTGCAACCATCTGACACAACTTCTAAATCCATGTGTATCCCACACAGCACACTTTTGTTTTTTGACATTTTACATTTTTGGCATCTTCTATTATATCCTTTGTCCAAAGCAGAATGTATTTTGCTGTACCTCCACATTGTTTTGTTTGGTCAGCTGGCTCACGTCGGTCTTCATTTAGTCCTAACCGTCTGAGGAGGTGAAACGGTACACATTGTTTTGGTTGCAAAAGTTGGCCTTTCCAAAATCCACAATTGCACAGCCAGTTTTAAGCAGCTCAAAATAGCCGAATGTTCCTCTTTGGTATGGTGTAAATTGCCCTGTTTAAGTTTACTAAAGAAAGCCAATGAGAAATAGTGTAAACCTGAAGCCCATTTTCTACTTTTTTTCTCTTAAAGATAGATCTCTTTGGAAATTCCAATTTCTGCTATCTGATTAGACTGTATGCACCATAAAGGCCTCATCTACTGACCTTCAAATTTAAACAAAACCAAGGGGCCATAGCATCTGAGGTCGAGTGTTTTATTGAGTATTCATCTTAGTCTGGTTGGGAAGTTGCGTAAATACAGAGTTAATTAGGGTCTTTCTTCATTCTGTCAGATCAATGGTACTCCATCTTGTTTGAGCAGAGCTGGTAAGATAAGTCACGGAAGCCCCAGGATGCTGTGGATCACCACAAGCCTGGCTCTCATTCTGCAGCCCACTCAGTCTGACCAGCAGGATGGGATGGGAACGCTTTCCACTGTTTGAGAGAGGAGAGGGAAGCGGGCAGAATTAAAAACACAAACAAAGAGCTGATGTACTTTGCACAGTCGACTGGTCTCAGTTTAGCAGTAGGCCAGCTGGACCACAAAGTCGACAGAGAGGGAGTACCAGCGGTGGGCTCGGCAGCGCCTGGTTAGTGAGATTTGGTCACATGGGCATTTGTGGTTAGCAGTAACTTGAAGGAGCAGCCCTTGTGCTTTTCATAAACAACAACAGTCAGGTGGATGACAAGAGCATGTTGCCACATTGAGCAGTGCAAACTCTGATGCATGCCCTCAAAAGTTTGAAGAAATGACTTTGGCGTGACCCTGTAAAGGCCTTCGACAGCAAATCTGTTGTCTTTGAGCTCCGTCTCTATGGTGCAGGTCAATCTGGTATAAATAGCACGCTGCTAACACATGGTGCCGAGGGAGTCAAAACAGCTAGCATATGCTGTCTCTGGGCTGTTCCTGTCAGTTTCAGTCTGCAGTCTCAAGAGGGGTGATCTGTTCGTGTGTGTGCGGTTGGTGTTTATACATGTGTGTTGGACTGGTTTGTACATGAGGATGGCACCTTGGCTAAGCTGCTGTACAAAGTCAAACATCAGTTGCAAGTAACCGTTTGTGAGGTTTAAACATCAAAAGCCATTATGACCAAGGACTGTATTTTATAGCAACGAGAATTGTTGTGTAGCAACAACCGCTTTGTCAGGACAACAGGCGCACACAAGTCAGTTTTTCACCCTGTAGCCTTTTGGAAAATGCCATGCCACCATGTGTTACAGGTATAATGCAATATGTAATGTATTCTGTTATTGTAGTAGCAGTGCTGCTTCATTCATACCATGTATAGATGTAGCATCTCATCTGTAAACAATCTTTTCTGTTGTGTCTGTGGATGGAAAGTATGACCAGCCATTACCTGACTCAGCCTTTTTATTTTGTCATGAATAATGCATTGTCCTTGTCAGGTGAGAAAGGGGGCATGCTATTCAAAATTTTTGGAGTTTTTCCAGATCTGCTGGTAATGTCATCGTAAATCAATAGATCAATAGTCCTTCACATCCTTTCTTCTCTGTCAATGTTTAGTAGTTTGTGGCTTGGTGGCCTTGAGGCCTGGCATCGGATTGCAAAGCAGTATTCAAGGGAGGGAAAATGTGGCTAAGTCTTGGATAGTGGACTCTCACTTTACCAATTTCAATTTTTGGGCCACATTTTTTTCCCTAAGAAATTACAGAGTCCCATAATGAGAAGTTATGTTAAATGCTGTAAAATACAGGTTCCTCCTTCATGCCTGTCAGAGCTCCTTTGAATTCTTTTACACATTGTTATGCAGAGTTGAGGTTTTTCTGGTCTCTGCATTTTGGAGGGTTGTCTCAGCAGAGGGCTCCTTTCATAAGAGTGCAGCATCAGTACACAGACTCATCCTCTGCATGCTTGACAAAAATTTAAGATTGCTGTTGTGGTTTCTCCTTCATGCATTTAATGTGTTTTAAATCACTTGTCTTCAGAGAAAGACCGCAAATACCATCCTCACCTTTATCAAACAAACTCTGATCTTTAAAGTGGCTTACTGTTATTCCCCTTGTTTTATTTAAAATGTGTGAGGTTAGTTAACACGGGGTTAACATTTGCACACAACTATGTAGAAGACAATGTTGTTCAGCTATTGAGTTTCAAAAGTACAACTTCCACACAGTATATGCTATCTCATTCCAGAGAAATTTGGAGTGAGATAGCAGTTTTAAATTGGAAATTGCATGGTGTTTATTTTTAGCTCTTTCTGCCTTAACTGCCTCCCTGGTCAGTGGACCACAGTATGGTGGTTGAAGGGAGAGGCCAGACCTCAGTGTGTGAGCAGAGCACTTGTGGTTACTTCTCTGGACTTGGCCCTCACAGGCCACCGTGGGTTCAAGTCCTGGGCGGGGGACAGCTAAGGAAGCCTCTGCTACTGATAATCTGGTACAACTGTTCCTGGATTAAAGGCCATTTATGTGCATCAGCCTAGCATGGTTATGCATGGTAAGACTTGTAACCAGTAATCCAGGTTGATTATATAAGGAAAGCCTAAAGTGACACTGGTCAGAGGATGGATGTGTGAATAATACATGAGTGAGTACATGGATGTACAGGTGGGGACTGATTAATGGCAGACGTGCATAATTCACTTTGACTTTTTTGCTTTTCCACTTTTGGTCTGCGAGTCAAAACCTTGTGTGGGGAAATGCATTTCTTGGTTCCACAGTTAGCTAATTACTGGTTACGGCTGCAAATTCAGCCCAATGTTTTGTCTATTTCAGGTTGTGATACAGAGCGTAAAGCTGAAAGAGAACAAACATTTTCTTCCCTTTTATCCAATCCATGAACTTCAACAGCCCTTCACGTATAATTTAAAGAACTTTAAATGTCCAAGTAAAAAAAAAAAACCCTAAAATATAATAAAAAAAATCTGTTTTTTTTAATAATTTGACAGCATTTGTAACAAGTTTATGAAAGCTTTTACTCTTACTACAAGTGGTATTGCCTCTGCTTGCAGAAGCAGCAACAAGGTTTTATTTGGAATTAACAAAAGAGGAAGAAGCGGGTACTTAGAATAAGCAGAGATGAAGAACACCTTGAAGACACATACTCAAGAATAATTAAAAGACTTCTTTAAATAAAAATGTCTCTAGATGGTTAAGTGGACAAGAAATCACTGGCAGGTGCAGCCCAAGTGAAAATGATTGAATTAATAAACAAATTAATTAATGAACATTTAGGTAATTGGTAATTGTAATTTAGACATTCGAGAGACTCCTGGCTGGGAAAAAAGAGACATTCAGTAAGTTAACAAGTTCTCCTTTGTGTGGTTCGGTGTCTTACACATTATATAGGGCCCAGCCACTGGTCAGTGTGCATGATTTATTGTGTCTTCTCCTTCATGCTACATTTCGTATTACTGTCACACCCATTATTTTTAAAGGCATGTCAGTCCATAGGTATAAAAATAGTGGGCCTAACTTTGGCCCTTATGCCTGGATTTCCTGTCTGTCCAGAATCTGTCCTGTAATCTGGAGAAGCACTTGCTCTCCTCCCGCCTGTGTAAAGCTTTGTTTGTTTGCCTACCCGCCTCCCTTTCTCTTGATCTCTGTCTCTTTCCATCTCTCAGTCGGCCTTACTGTAAGGACATCAACAACAATCTAACTTAGGCTTATCACTGTCTTAGATACAATAGGATTTACTATGCGATTGAAGTTTTTTGGTGTATGTTTACTGTGTCGGTCTTGTGCTTTGCTTCATCTCTGATCTCTCAAAATGAAGATGTTCAGCCCTATAATCTCTACAACTATCATATTACCAATAGTCTTTTGGTTTACAATGCTTGGAAAACAAATAAGACAGCTCAGAGTCTGAGAGAGAGAGAGAGAGAGAGAGAGAGAGAGAGGTGGAGAAGGAGTGAGAGTTATCCTAACCAACCACATGTTTTGTTTCACTTCTCAAATATGACACAGTCATTGAGTGCTGTAGTGCAGTAACACAAACAGAGTGGCTGAACAGATCAAAGCCATCAGACCCATAATGTCTTTCCCAGCCTTTTTTCCTTCACGTTCAATTAAGTTACTGTCATATGTGGGAGGAAATTGAACTACATTAGACCTGGCAATAACCGGTCTAACTTAAAAAACACATGGTCTTACATGTTACATGTATGTTTACATGCACGCTTTTAAGAAGTCTTGCAGGCTGCTTATTTGGGATGTGTAAATTATGCAAGGGTATTATAGCCTTTGCCAGTGTGGGCTGACAAGAGAAGACAAATGTACTGAGTTCCATGTGGACATTACAGTATGTTGTTGTCTTAGACACCCTGACTGTTGATGGAGTAGAGCAGTGCCACTCTCCTCACTTAAGCCATATGTTTGCCCTCCAGTAATGGTATTTGTTTTCCTGTTCTCTGCTTCACCACTGGAGCCACTGTCCCGTCAAGCTGACAGACTCTGAATATAAATAGGTTAATATCTCTAATTTGGAGGTCAACCTGACAAGTGAACAGGCACAGACTCATACCTCATGTCTTTGACCACAGTCAGCTGATGACAACCATTCAAGACCAGACAAATCATACCTCCTCTGCAAAATCATCTTCTGTGATGATAGTTTATCAGACAGAGAGAGCAGAGAGATAAGAGGCACCAGACTGCCAAACTGCTCCAAATCTGCATGCTCTGCTTGTCATTGTAGAGCGCTGACAGGAGCTGATAAAATAGCTTTCTATGGTCCACTGCCGACTAGACATAAACCTCAAATACGCTGTGCATTTGCCCACTGACCCATAAAAATGAACAAAGTTATGTTTTGTATACGCTGATAACTATTTCATTTTTTAAATGAGCAGTATTTTTGTTGCAACTGAAGTTGTGATTTAAAGAATAAACGTCTTACCACATGGTGATTAATATGCATGTGGTTATGAACTTCTGTTTAGCTTGAAACATAGACATTCAACACAGTGATTCTTCTGTTTCACAGAGGCAACAAACCAAAATCTCCAGAGCTCTATGAACCCTACTGTAGATAGATTGTCTACCTCACAGCTTTGGAAAGGTTGCCTTTGCCTGATTTTGATATCATACATGGTCAGCAAGTCACTGAGTCTCCATATCAGCCTGTTTTTACCTTGTTTAGCTAATATGTTGGTGCCAAACTGATCAGATTGTAGCAGTATTTGGTACAGTCAGTCATTGACTCCCAAGCCTCAACTGGCCAAGCCTCTACTTACTTAAAGTGAAACATCAGTATTTTTGAACTTGGACCCTATTTTCCAATTCAGTTTTTCACTCTGTTGTCAATTACACACAGGTCCGAACACACACATGCACAAACCGGACTTATACATGCACTAAGTGGAGAGATGTCAGAGTGGGCTGCCCATGACAGGCTCTCCGAGCGGTTGGGGGGGGGGGGTTCGGTGCCCTGCTCAGGGGTGCCCAGGAGGTGAATTGGCACCTCTCTAGCTACCAGTCCACGCTCCTTATTTTGGTCCAGACGGGGACTTGAACAGGCGACCCTCTGGTTCCCAACCCAAGTCCCTATGGACTGAGCTACTGCCGCCCCAAACACAGGACAACATAGGAGAATAGGTTCCAGTCCAGTGTTTAACATTCTTTACATATGTTAAGTACAAATGACATAACCTTTAGTGGATTAAAGACAAATCACTGTTTAACTATGTCTTCTTCCCTTGTAGCCTGATGACTGTGCCCTTCAGCTGTCCCATAATGGAAGCTACCTGGACTTGGAGTCTACCTTGGCAGAGCAGAAAGATGAACTGGAGGGATTTCAGGAGGAAGGAGGGTAAGATAACAGTCACATCTTTCTCTCTCTTAGTTTTTCCTTCACTGTCACCAAAGTTCAAAAGCAAATAATTGCATCTACATAACATGCTGAAATGAAAAACACTCTCTATCACTGCACCAAAGTTGGTCATATATCCTTAGCACTTCAAAAGATTCAGATTGGAAACACAAGAGGGGCTTGGCACTGCCTAGCAGGTTGATAATGTACGTTACTTGCCAGGCTCTGATTGTACAGGAATAGATTGTTCATGTTGTTGTGGTCAAATGAACTGTTATGAACCAGAAATAAAAGATGTATTATTCAAGAGTAACTGACTTGAAAGTTTTTGATTACAACAATCTGGCTTTTAAAAACACCCCAAATATTTCTCTGCCTCAACAGTCACACATAATCAGTACAATGTGATTACTGGTTTTTGAGAGGTAGACACATAAAAATGCAGGCGAGATAAGGGTGAAATGATAGAGTATGTGGGGATATGTATTAGTATCCTACTTGCTATATTTCTTTGCCTAATTTGATTCTATTATAGTGATTTGAATCATAATGATACCCATTTTGTTCCAGGATGAATTAGTGTAATAATCCCTTTTCCGGGCCTTAGCTGATTGAGCTCTCCTGCTTAAAAGCTGCTCTCAGGAGGTGGTTGTGTCTGTCGAAGAGCTGAGGGGACAGGCTTCACCCCACCTGAGGGACTCTCAGTTTCAAAAGTCTTTCAGCATTTTGAGATTTTAGAGGTAAACAAGTTTAAATTTAACATCTGTATTATTAGCTGCACTAATTCCTCAGTCACCAAGTATCTCAACAGTCTCATTGGCTCAGGATATGTCATTTATCAATCATAATGTTTGTTCTGTTAAGTTAAAAAAAAAAAACATGGCCATGCTCACATTATAGGGCTTAATGCTCCTATTTTGTTTCTCCAGATAAGATCCTTCTGCCTAGACTGTTCATATTCATGATGGAGGTGACCCATATCTGACATCAGTGTAAACAGATCTTTCACATATTATCAGTAACGCCACATTTGGGGAAAAAATGATTGGCATAGTAGCACAGACTTTACCTCTGATGATCACCATAGTAGGAAGGTTCAATAATGTCATTCTGCATAATAATTAGCCATGTGCTTCTGTTTGGGACGGTGTGTAGCACATTTTCGGAGCAATAACTAAGCTTTCGGTCCACTAGCTCTATTAGCAACTGGTACTTCTGTGGAGGAGAGGACTCAGGAGTGGTGGGATCAGGATGTGGAGGGTTTCATGGAAGATGTCTCAAAATTTAAGTTGTCAAGGGCTACATTCCTATATCTCTGTTGGAGCCTCATGACAGCAATGTCATGACCCTGTCAGAAAGCATCTGGCAGTCAGGCTCGATTGACTGGCGACTGGGGCAGCCTACTGCAGCAGCAGTACAGCTATGGCAGCCTTCTGTATCTTCAACAGAACGCTCCGACACTGATTGGTCATTGATTTGCACCTGTGCAGTGATGTATAATGTAGAACAACCATGGCTATATGGGAAAAACACAAACATTTCAAATGACCATTCTCACAGTTGATGCATGGCCACTGATCTGATCTGTTGTTTAGGACCACATATGGAAATGTCTCACCTCTGATGGAAAAAATTGCGTCTGTGCCCACACTACTCTGAAAAAATCAGATCTGTGTCACATATATGTCAGATTTGGGCCACATTTGCCTGTAATGTGAATGTAGGCTTTATACATGTGCAATGCTGATCTTAGTCATAGAAAAGGTAGCCCTTAATACATTTTATCAGTTCTGTGGTGGTATTAGTGCCCTTCTTTGTAACAGACTAAATGTCTCAGACTTTCCATGGCAGTCGTCCATTCATGTCCCTTAAAATACCTGGCCTCCCTGGCCGAGTGGCAGCAGTGATGTCATCTAAACCACTTATGAGGTGTAGACGTGTCTCATGAGTAATCACCCTCATCTCTGTTGAATGTTACCTCATTGCTCTCATTAGAAGTGGCCAAACTACAACTGTATACCCACCACCGTACAACTCTCAGCTTCTAATTTAGCTGCATTGTTTCCCTGTAATATGGATTTAAATGAGGCTTTGTCTTGACATAAATTCTAGACCTGGATGAAGAAGAGAGAGGTTTAAAATTGTGTTAGTTTCATTTCTGTTTCATACAAGTTCTTTGGCATGTTACTTTATTGACTCCATATGTTTTTTCATGTACTGTGGAGTATGTTGATATATCATTCATGTGCTGCCCACTTTAGATGATCACAAACCAAAGGTTGGCATGAGAGCTCCTGGTCGGCTGGACCACAAACATGTATGGATTTATTTGTCTAACTTGGAATTCATAAGCTGCTCTCTGGCTTGGTGTTTCTATTGGACGTTGAGAGTGCCGTCCTTTCCCAGTTCCATCTGAAATTGTTAGGAGCTTATGGGAGGCTATTGAGAGCTGTGAGGTTAAAGTGGTCCACTTCTTCTCTCGTCGACGACCGAGCCTGCCAGGGCCTCTGTCGTGCCAGCTGGCACAGGCTGGTATGGATGTGTGTCATTAAACCCACACAGTGTTGTCTGAGGAGGCTGGGGGTGAAGGTGGTTAGCCAATTATTTTGTAAAAATAGGGCAGTTCTGCTCGCTGGCTTTTTATGGTGCTGATGGGCCCAGGATTACACCCCCCACTGCTTGGTGTTGTTGATTTGATGATTATTGAGCTAATAAAAAGTCTGATGAGACATTTCACCTTTACTTGTTCCATTTTATTTTTGTTTTCACACTCATTTTACTGCAGATCTGTCAACAGCAGTCTCCAACTCCAAAACATTTAACCTACAAAAAAGAATTTGAGTATTTACCAGTTTTTTTCTGAATTTTATAAGTTGACGTCAAAGTAACACCGTTACACTAACAAGCAAAGTGATGCTTTGATTATTTTTGCTTTAAGGCCAGCCACCCACCTTCAGAAAGAGAACTGTACTCACATACCGCCTGAGTTCCTGAACTTCCCTGATCATTGGCCATCAAATCCATCTGTAATTGATATTAATGACAGGTTACATTCCTGAGGTGCCTGTGTCATACCTAGTGTCTTTACAAACAGATTAAAGTATGATCCTCTGACAGAGCACTGCAGAGCCAGGAGATATCCATGTCACGGGAGCTTAAGGGCCATAATCACTTCCACACTGCGTTTGAAGCTCAGCTATAGGCGATTGTGACTCATAAATCCCCTGTCGCATCTCTGATACAGTCACACTTAGTTATAAACTGACCATATAGCCCAGACATGTGCTCAGACATATCTGCACAATTTAAGGTAGTCAGTATGTCATGAAGATTTCTAGCTGTGATAGATTGATTGACTTCCTGCATTTGTAGCCCTGAGCAGAGATGGAGTATGGGGGACGTAGTTAGGATCAGATGGCCTGACATGTGCTTACAGACATTTATAGCCCTTGAATATTTTTGTGGATTACATGGATTGAAGGATGAGGTCCTGTTGTAGCGTTTCAGGGGAACTTACTAGGGGTCTGATGTTTTAGGAAAAATCTTGTATTGAACTCGTGTTGCATTATGTGCTGGGCTTTATTTTGTTTTTACTCAAATATGTGACATTGATTGACAGATAATTTGTAAAGTTGTGAGTCCTCAAGGACATATTCCCTGGCTTGTTTTTAGAAGACAACATGAAGGGCTGTTAATGACTGCATAATTGATTCAGTATGTGTAATATGTAGCTGACATGCAGCGCAGAAGAAGACACTTTTTAGCGTTTTACTGCCCTGGTACATATAAAGCACATGTGAAAGCCAACAGTTTTGTGCTGAATATGCCTTTCTTGGTTTTATTGAGTGTTCTTGATGTGTTCGACAACCAGTCACAAGTCAAGCGTATTAAAATCCAACTATTCTTGCCTCAACTATTCAGCGTTTCTGATCATCTCCTTTCATCTCTCTGAGGACAGCTCCATTTTCATTATTTTCATTTTTTTCTGACCCACTTGGGCATTGTTTCATAGACACTCACAGCACACAAGATTTTCATTTGAGGAGGAAAAAAGGCCCATTTGAAAAGAACCAGAGGAATTGTCAAACACAGTATAGCTTAAACTTCAAGGAGGGAAATAAAACACCAGTTGCCCCCTCTGTGTTTGCAGAGCAGTTTACGGGTATTATTAACAGAATAGAACAGCTTTGTGATTGTTGAATGTGTATGTGGTTGTGTGCGAGACTCGGTCAATGGTTAGTGAAGCATCCCCTCTGAGGGAAATGAGCCCTGTAGATAGTCTCTCAGCCTGGCTTACCCCCTGGCGCACTCAGACACTGCGGGTCCCTCTATAGACACTGATGAAGGAGTCCCTCCAGCAGGGGTGTTCACCAAGAAGAGCTGAGTCAGTAAACCTCCATGGGGCCTTCTTGTCTGGCATTATTGGTCTTTGAGGAGAGGTACTGGCTTTACTGTGTTCCAACTATGTGTATTCACCTTCTATGGGTACACAATTTGTGTTGTTTTATAAACAGTGCCAGTAATGCTCCCTTATATAAAACCAGAGAGCCTGGAGCTGGCAGGTATCCACTGGTCCAGTTGCAGCTGCTCTGGGTATCAGGAAGACAGAGCCTTATGAGGGTGCTGAACAGCAGAGCAGTGATGAATAGAGAAGAAAATAATATGGGGTATCTAATTGGCAGGTATAGTTGTTCAGTTTCCACCGCTAAATTCCTGTTTGCAACATTTGATAGGCAAGGGGATGATGATGAACAACAGATTTATGCTATTAAGTAGAAAGATTTATGGTGTGCTGCTTCTTTTCATGTACAGAATGAATAAAAATGGCCATATGCTTTCATTTAATCTTTTATAAAGCCATCTAATTTAGAACAATTGCTTTGGTAATGGTCAGGAAGTGAGACGTAAGTAAGAAGTAATTGTTTTGGGTAATGGTCAAGTTTACTCGTTTCATGAGATTGTTAAGGCTACTCATTTGTACTTAAATGGTAGCAACAAAGGTATTTCAGAAGCATGATGTTGCACATAATGAATCAGATTTAATAGGAGCTTGGCTTAAGTTGATTATACAGTACCACCAGTGGAAGAAACCAGAACATTCTGGCACAGACGAACATCAGACCAAAAGAGGACCATGGAATTCAGTAGGTATTACATCCCAACATGCAGCCAATTTGTCGTTTGGCTGACATTCTTTATAGTTATGATTATTTCTGTAACTTTGGGCACCACCCTTTACAGGCCTGCAGTACTGTCTGCCTGTGGGAGTGTCCAGTTTTCATGTTTAATTGGTGGGGGTGATGGGGGGGTCTGAAAACCTCACTTATATTCCATGCACGTTTGTTTAATTTGATAATGAGCATGTTGGCCTGTGTAGCCTCAGGTCCTGGTTAAGCATAGGGATACTGTTGCAGCCAAGCGGAGAGAATGCAGACTTTCGTGACAAAATGGCTCTGGTTACCCGTTTGCCTCAACAGCATCACAGAGGATTAAGTTCCTGTTTGCTGTCTCATCTCACCGGTGAAGGCCCATGTTGACAGATGTTGCTCCTGTGTCACCTCTGCTTGTTGCTGGATATTATATTTGATAAATAGTGAGGATACACAGATTTCCCCTGCCATGTAATCTGCTCGTGTGCATGTCAGTGCAGTCTCCCACTGACTGGTCGGGGCAGGAAAGATGTCAGAGCGTCTGTCTGGAGCAGTTATGCAGTAATGCTACTGGTTTATGGTGAGGCAGCAGTATGATCTGCCTTCTGTGTTGATAGGCTTTTCCTCTCTCTCTGTCAGACCCACTGCTGCCTGATTGTCACTAAGAGTAACAGTCTGTCGCTGGCACTGCGCCAGTCTGAACAATCACACAGCCTTTGTGCAGGCGGCATAAAAGCCTATTTGTCAGAGAGCCGAATTAGGAGGGGGGTTGTTGCGCAACTCTACCTGCTGTGCTCTTGTCCACAGTTGTGTCTACTGGGTTTGTTTGTATGCTTCTTTAGCTAGTCGGGAGGTTAAAGGCACAATCTGAGATCCAAAATGTAAACAAAAGGGTAGCCTCCACATACAGAATTCAAAATACGGGATTGAAATATACTTTCTATGTCAAAGACGACACAATGACTAGATCTGAGCCATTTTCTTGTAATGTTGTTAAAGGTTGCTTCACATTTGGGAAGCAAACACAGGCAGACATGTTTGATTACTTCTGACTAAAAACTTTATCAACAATGTCAACAATCCCATTGTCAAGTACTGACAATACAGCCAAAGCCTGATACCCTTTATTTCTGCCATTATTATCCAAAATTTACACATCAATGAGTCATTTTGTTGCATTATGTGATTCAGTCCTCCATAACCACAAACATGACCAATGTAGTTTAGTTTGAATCAATCCCACATGCACTGTCCTACTGACATAAATACACACTAATGTAACTTTAGTTAAAACTACAGTGCCTGTGACCCCCAGGAGCTCATGTCATCGCTTTTCAAAACAGACTTTGTGACCTTATTGCGATTTGCTTTCCCTTGCATACATAATACATCAGAAAAAAGCATCTTATGAAGCGTAAATAACATAAACATTTGTTTTAGTGTTTAGTGAGGTTTACAGAGGTCCCAAGGTAAGGGATGAGATTATTAACAGCATAAAACTGTTATTATCTGTGTCTGGTTTCAGGAAATATGTTAGAACTCAAATACCTAAATAGCTGGAGACTATTAAATTAATTATCCTTTTCTCAAATCCATTTAAATTGCACTGTTATTTCCACTTGCTATATGTCTCTATTTATTGTATACTACCTAGTTAACCATTGTTAACCACTCCATCCTCGGGGTCTTGTACTGTAGGTTGTGTAGGTATAATACATCTATTTTTTCCCCTTAAATCTAGACATACAGTACAGGCCAAAAGTTTGGACACACCTTCTCATTCAATGCATTTTCTGTATTTTCATGACTATTTACATTGTAGATTCTCACTGAAGGCATCAAAACTATGAATGAACACATGTGGAGTTATGTACTTAACAAAAAAAGGTGAAATAACTGAAAACATGTTTTATATTCTAGTTTCTTCAAAATAGCCACCCTTTGCTCTGATTACTGCTTTGCACACTCTTGGCATTCTCTCCATGAGCTTCAAGAGGTAGTCACCTGAAATGGTTTCCACTTCACAGGTGTGCCTTATCAGGGTTAATTAGTGGAATTTCTTGCTTTATCAATGGGGTTGGGACCATCAGTTGTGTTGTGCAGAAGTCAGGTTAATACACAGCCGACAGCCCTATTGGACAGCTGTTAAAATTCATATTATGGCAAGAACCAATCAGCTAACTAAAGAAAAACGAGTGGCCATCATTACTTTAAGAAATGAAGGTCAGTCAGTCCGGAAAATTGCAAAAACTTTAAATGTGTCCCCAAGTGGAGTCGCAAAAACCATCAAGCGCTACAACGAAACTGGCACACATGAGGACCGACCCAGGAAAGGAAGACCAAGAGTCACCTCTGCTTCTGAGGATAAGTTCATCCGAGTCACCAGCCTCAGAAATCGCAAGTTAACAGCAGCTCAGATCAGAGACCAGATGAAGGCCACACAGAGTTCTAGCAGCAGACCCATCTCTAGAACAACTGTTAAGAGGAGACTGCGCGAATCAGGCCTTCATGGTCAAACAGCTGCTAGGAAACCACTGCTAAGGAGAGGCAACAAGCAGAAGAGATTTGTTTGGGCCAAGAAACACAAGGAATGGACATTAGACCAGTGGAAATCTGTGCTTTGGTCTGATGAGTCCAAATTTGAGATCTTCGGTTCCAACCGCCGTGTCTTTGTGAGACTCAGAAAAGGTGAACGGATGGATTCCACATGCCTGGTTCCCACTGTGAAGCATGGAGGAGGAGGTGTGATGGTGTGGGGGTGTTTTGCTGGTGACACTGTTGGGGATTTATTCAAAATTGAAGGCACACTGAACCAGCATGGCTACCACAGCATCCTGCAGCGACATGCCATCCCATCCGGTTTGCGTTTAGTTGGACGATCATTTATTTTTCAACAGGACAATGACCCCAAACACACCTCCAGGCTGTGTAAGGGCTATTTGACCAAGAAGGAGAGTGATGGAGTGCTGCGGCAGATGACCTGGCCTCCACAGTCACCGGACCTGAACCCAATCGAGATGGTTTGGGGTGAGCTGGACCGCAGAGTGAAGGCAAAGGGGCCAACAAATGCTAAACACCTCTGGGAACTCCTTCAAGACTGTTGGAAAACCATTTCAGATGACTACCTCTTGAAGCTCATGGAGAGAATGCCAAGAGTGTGCAAAGCAGTAATCAGAGCAAAGGGTGGCTATTTTGAAGAAACTAGAATATAAAACATGTTTTCAGTTATTTCACCTTTTTTTGTTAAGTACATAACTCCACATGTGTTCATTCATAGTTTTGATGCCTTCAGTGAGAATCTACAATGTAAATAGTCATGAAAATACAGAAAACGCATTGAATGAGAAGGTGTGTCCAAACTTTTGGCCTGTACTGTAAGTAAACACATTTTAAATCTGCTTAATGACTGGGCCCCTATTCTCAAACTTCAGATACCTTATCAGGGTGTCCCATTTCACATCTCCGTCATGTGTCGTGAAATGTACTTCTATTTTGATTTTTTTTTTTTTTTGTGAATGATCTGAAGCAAAACTAAACTTTCTCCCTGACCTTTCCTGTCTCTAACAAATAAAGCAGAAAATGCCAAAAACAATCTCAACAAAAAACTACAGTGCCCAAATTTTTAAGGAAATTAGCAAGCCTTTAAAAAATAAAAGTTGATATTTGTGACACATTGTTGGTTTTGGTCTTTTCATGTGTTTTGCTGCCTCAAAGAAAAACACAGTATAACGCCAGCCTTATCCTATAAAGAGGTAGATTTTACACCAGACTTTTAGATTGTAGGCTTCTAAGTAGCCAAATGATCCTTTGTATGGCAGACTACACTGCTCTCACATTCACTTTCACGATTGAATAGAATTGGGGTGCATTGTTGTCGTCTTTGTTTTGGATTGTCATTCAGACATTGTAAGCAGTTGACAGGATGGTGATAGGGTCTTGGCATATCTCCATTAACACAGGGGGTGGAGCTGACCTCTTTGCTGCTCCCATCCTTCATTTTCACCTCTGGAGACCTTTCCTCTGTTCTGTTCGGTGACCTGTTCCCTGTTGCATTCAAGATGCTAATATTGAATAGTTTAAATAAGACTGAATGGCATAATTTGTCATCATTCTGCACCTTTGCACAGTAGCTATTGGGCTATATTTTCATGTCAGTACTTGCCTGCCACTGGCATATTGATGGCTGACTTAGATTCAGACAGACATTCTGTTTCTTTATCTTGATACAGTTGTGTGTGTTCCACCCCATACACGCACACACACACAGACAGAAGCATGCAAACACACTCATACATTTGAATAATCACATATTGTTTTATATTAAAGTAACATTACTCTTTCTCTCATTTGTCTTTCTTTTTCACAGGAGGGGCAAGAAGCACAGCGTTATTCTTCGAACGCAGCTGTCCGTCAGAGTCCATGCCTGCATTGGTGAGTAATAAACTGTAGTGTAATCTAAACTGTACATTTGTCACTTCTCACTTTATGATGGTCAATTTGTCTCAGTCTATATCACCAGTGAGGTATGAGCTTTAATTACCTCCATTACCGGTGGATTATTTTACTGAGGTCCTTGTTTAAATTGCACGGTGGCAGTTTTGGGAAACAGCCTAGAATCTTAATTTGAGCGAGAATTAACAGCATTTCAACAACACTCTGAGAAACAGACCACTGGCATGGAGCACAGCCTGAAAACATTTAATGTTTCTGGACTTACTGTGTTCTGTCACTTTGTTTTATTGGGCCTCCTGGTGTCTTTGAGTAATGTGAGGGAACTAGCACAAAGAGCTGAGTGAAAACATATGCAAACATGCTTGCACGTGGCATGCGTGCGAACACATACACTCACACACACACACACACACACACAACATGCTTATCAGAGGTTGGGTTTTGATTAAACTAAGGATGCTAACTGCCTAAGCTTTTGCTAACTACAGTGTCTCTCTCAGATTTGGCGTAAGTTCCTTTTCCCATGTCTTTGTGGTGAGATGTAACTGATAATTTTAATTTAATTTTTTAATTTTATATACTTTATTAATCCCCCTGAGGGGAAATTCAATTCAATTTTTTCACTCTTTTTTGTCATTAACTCACAGGTCCAATAGACACACACACACATGCACAAACAGGACCTATACATGCACAAAGTGGAGAGATGTCAGAGTGAGGGGGCTGCCTTGGTCAGGCGCCCCGAGTGGTTGGGGGGTTTGGTGCCTTGCTCAAGGGCACCTCGGCAGTGCCCAGGAGGTGAACTGGCACCTCTCCAGCCACCAGTCCACACTCCCTATTTGGTCCGGACGGGGACTTGAATAGGCGACCCTCCGGTTCCCAACCCAAGTCCCTATGGACTGAGCTACTGTTAATACTACTGAGCTGTTCATTCTTTTGCACTTTGTTTAATGCATGTATAATATAAGAAATGAATACACAAGCTCTTGTACAGAAATTTTCTAGTGACTTGCAGGGTTTGGTAGCAGAGAGCACTGTGGTTGTCAGTAGCAGAACGTAGAGGAGCACACATTCTCACATAAAGACACACAGTGCCTCCTCTACGGGATTCTAGTGTAAAAATAACCCCAGGCCTGGAAAAACTATTAGGCTGTAAATTGTCAGATTTTAAATTTGGCCGTATTGCATTAGAAGCAAACCCAAGGCCCAGACATTTTTCATTTGAATGAAGTCACTATGATCTGAGAGCTATCTCTGATAGTCATCTCTGGTTATTTATTCTACCTGCTGATGCATGACGTGCAGTGGAAAGGTTTGGAAACTCCAGTGGATCTTTTACTGAGATTGCTCTGTCACGACAGCTCATTAAACTATTGGTGAGACACAAGAGAAATGAGAAAGACAGCTTTTGCTTGTTCTTGATGGGGTTTAGTTTGCACATGTTGATCGCAAAGAGGGTTGCTCTTTGATGCGCTTGATACTATAATTATGCAACTGATACAGTAAACCTGTCATATATTTTCCGGCTTTAGAAACTTTGCTATATTCCTGTTATTAATGATATTGCTTGCTTGTTTGCGCTCTCATTTTATGAAGACTTTTCCAGCCTTGTGTAACAGGTCATGTAAGCTGCATTTCCACCAAAACCTTTAGGTAAAGTACCCTTAGAAATGCACTTAACTCAAACAGAAATGTACTGAAACTGTAGATCTGTTATGCACTTCCACTGCAGACAGTAGTAAATGTAGGTGAGGTTGTTAGCAGATAGCTGTGTTACTGCTCCATATAGCTTTTGCTGTATTTCCTCTTCACCAACAATGCAGAGGAACGTCTTCACTTTGCTCATTGCCCACGAACGGAGTTATGTCCCATTTTCATAGCAAAAACATCAGGTCAGAGTGTTAAGAGCAGTAGCGTAGTGTGGCAAGAGCGCACAGGAAGGACAATCCAAATTCATATATATATTTCAAGTGCTTGAAGACATTGGTAAAGCTTATGTCATGCAAGAGAGATAATAAAAACAAATGGTACGGTCAAAGTTATCATATCGACATTTAAGGTGTGTTGATTGATTCACAACGTCAACTCATGCACTGAATAACATGCAAGAAAATGTTCTACCTTAAAGCTGCCAGCAGTAGCCTTTGAGCGGCAGAGTTAATTACATTATTTCATTGTTCATCTATAGCTAGCTAGCTGTTAAATTGTAAAGATGAAAAAGCAGCACAACATCTTTTCATTGTAGAAATTAGGTTATGCTGAAAATGGCTGCACTTGTGAATATTTGGCTGAACCTAGTCCACGGACGACTCTGAACTGGCTTTACCTTAGTCTCTCCTCCTGCTGGTGCTTGGCTCAGCTTAGTGGAGCCTGGGGAGTGGCAGACAGACTTGCTGCTCTTCTCTAAGTGGATGATGACCCTCTTTCTCTCTAAGTTGACAGCCACCTGTTGCCCTTCTCTAGTCTCCCTCAGTGACTGCCCGTGTGGCTGGCTGATTTATTTCCTCTAGTGGAGGTGGTCACTGTTACTGTAACTTGTCCAGACATTTGAGCCTAATTTTATCTGACTAGAGGGCTTACCTCGTAGCCCCATGAGTGCAGAATTACTGGGTGATTTCCCCGCTCCACACAGGAGATAATTCGTTAGTCTTCCGAAGACAAATGGCATGGTGTTCTTTAGGCTGCGCACTTGCTCTGTATTAAGGGATTGAGAATTTCCCTGCTGTCAGTTCATAAAGGCCAAAAGGTCTCTATAGAGAAGCCCCCTTAATGTCAGTGATTTTTAAAATTTTTTGCTTTTGCTTTTGCTTTTGCATGCCATACTGTTTTGTCTTTGTCTTCTAATGAGAGATGTTGTGCAATAAAAAAGCTGCTACACTAAAGTGCCTTTGGAGAATAGCCAGCACTAAATATACAGAGGCATCAGAGTGGCTTTAACACCATGATTTTCAGAATCCCTGTAAATCCTTCAGTAATGGTCCTTTTGTATAAGTCTGACAAGCTTGAGCTAATAGCATCACTCTTGTGTTAGCTTTTGGTCAAAGCATGCTTGTATCAAACATTACCAGTGTTGTTTTGATGTCATTTATCTAATGTTTTGAATGTAGCATCACTTAAAGGTGGAGTCTGCAATTCTAATACCATACACTTTTTTTAATGTTTAATCTTCTCATGGTCCGCAAGCTGTCTGTACCATATGTGTAAGGGGAAAAAAAAAAAACTCCTGGTGTTCATACCAAATGGCAACCTCCAGGGCTGAAAAATGAAGCCATCACAGCAGCGCTAAAAACTGCAGTTACATAAATGGCCACTTGAGGCTGGCTCCAGAAACAAGACAATCCCCATAAACCCCCATGTTAAAATGCCTAACTTTACAGCAGAAATAAACACGTTATAACCTGGTACAAAAAAAAGGGTTCGGTCTCTATAGCTTATTTCCCCCTTTGTGACAACTGCACGAGGGGTGAGCTTTTTTCCATACATTTTATTAAGGCAGGTTAAGGTTACACAGAGCTATGCTCCTCCATAGCTCCTTCCTCATGTGTAAGTCACCTCTCTTCAAAACACCGGGATGTCAGTGGCCGAAATGCTGAACAATGGGTGATTTCACGGTGTTAAGACCATTATTGTATACAGTCTATGGTTCATACACAGCCCTGGAAACTAACAAAGTGGCTCGGAGCGAGCTATACAGTATGCCGGCTACTCTACCTCCTCCACGTTCTACCTCACGAGAAAGAGCTACAACATGATAGTAATGAAACGTAAATAACATCAGAGATATTACCCAACCTTCTGAAGGAGCGCTGACTGGAGGGGTGACTTTGTTTAGGTTAGCACACCCATGTTATCGAGACACTTTGTTCATGCCCCCTCCATTAACATGAGTGATGAGCTGCTTACAGTCATGTATGTAATTTGTGTCATGTAGCACCATTTTGTGGAAAACCCACTGCATGTATTTGAATTTTTAATTAAGAAGTGCATAACTTTGTTTATGTTATCTGGTTTTTTGGGTTTCTGCAAATGTATGAATCACAGGGCTAACTTTCAGTTGGTGTGTGTGTGTGTATGTCTGTGTGCATGTGTCATGAACCACAGAAAGACCTAATCCAGGCTTCCCTAATCATAGTCATTAGCTCTCCCATACATATGGTTCTGCATGAACCAGGTGGAAATCTATGCATCAGAGTCAGCGGAGGAAGGAAAGTGCTCACCCAAAGAGCTAATGGTTTATTAAACTGCTTCTTACCGACCTACCTCTGGCACAGTGTTTTGTTTTAATCACACAGGCTCTTTGTGTACTAAAAGTGTCTATCTGGCACCATACAAATATTTATCTCTGTCTCTGTAACGGTAGTCTGCAGAGTGTGGCCTCATTGGTATGAAGCTCCTGGAATATTTGTCTGCATGCATGCTATATACTACTTGATATATGCATCAGTCCTTTCATGGAGAACAAAATAAAATGATTTTTGAATGGATGTGTTTTGTCTTAAAATGACCAGTAGTGGTGATGGTTTGATCCTTGTTTAAATTTCTTTGACCAGCCTGGGTGTTTAGAAAATAAACTCAGCTCGTCCCTCTCTGCGTGTTAGCAGTGGCCACAGCCTGTTTAAATTGTTGGGCTGTTATTGTTGTTGGTGGACTAGATGTGGTGGCAAGGGCCTGATTAAAGCAATCCTGTGCTTGTTTTAGCGTTGTCTGCAAGTACAAGACAGTAGGTCCTCTTTTTATGTGCCAATTTGTTTCGTAGTTGCCGTGATGTGATGGTATGGAGAATATAAAAGACAGGAAGAGAGACGGAGACAGACTATAGTTTGGGCCGCTGGATGTTCAAATGGGGATACCAACTTAAGAATTAACAAATGTCACATGTTTTGTAGTCATCAGCAGCTCTTGCAAAGTAAAGGCTCCAAACGAGCTTTTCTTGAGTCCATACAGATGTTCAGTCAGAAGCTGCTCCACTGGCAATTAACGACTTTTATGCAATGCTGGCCCAACATTTGATGTGGTAAATCTATCAACTGCAATCCAGAAAATTATCCTTGATGAGCAGAAAATCATCTTGAAGTCATTTTAAATGGAGCCAGCTCTACACCAGTCACACATCACAGATTAGTGGGTGGTACAAACTTATTTTTTCGTTTATACCTAGTAGTTAATAGTCTCAAATGTAAAAAAAAGAGTCATACATTTGAAAGCTGAAATGTGTCGGTATTCCCCTTTGAGACCAGGTTCATGTGTCAACACATTGATCTCAGCCGAGGAGTGACAGCTGTAATAAGAGGTGACACATTCTTAGTGGATTATCTGCTTGTCTTTTACAACCGCTTATAATCTGGGCTCAGCACATGATTCATTGTGACCGCTGTTGACTTGCGTTTCTTTTTGGTGCTATAATTTTGTCAAATTGGTAGTTTTGATCTCCAGGTTGACAACTGAAAACTCTGTGGTTGTTAAGATGGAAGAGGATGAGCAGTAAATTCTCTACGATTATCCCTCTGCAAACCGTGTTGGTGGATGACTTCCTGGCATAGTTACATGGAAATATGTGCTGTTAAGTGTGTGCTTTTCACTGTTTGTTTATCTAATTAGGGTATTATTATGTGTGGGTGTCTACTGTATGTGTGCATGTGGGATGTCAGCACATTGACTTAAGATGATAAGATCACCTGTGGGTTATCGTGGTTTTCCCAACCACAGTGTCTGTCTTTTCCACACGCCCTGCCAGATCTATTATGAGCCATCTGCAGTTTTGTGAATACACATAAAAAAAATCATTCCAGTAGTCAACTTGCCCATTAAACTGAAGATCAGTTTGAGATCATTTTGGAAAGAGAGAGAGTTATCCAAGGTTATATGGATGGGAATCGAGAACCAGTTGGAATTGGAATCAGAATTTAATGCCTCTGAGCTTATCAATAATTTCTATCAATGCCGGCATATTTTTCTGACAGCTGCACGTCGCAAAATGATGTCAAAGTTATGTGTCTACGCTACTGGAAACTTACAACAAGAAGGTCCAAAGCATGGCTTCATTTTATGAAGAAATATAACAACAGTGCTGCTTGTAATGTCTGTAAAATAATAATTTCAAGCAGTATGCTGAAACATCTTTCTTTGCAACATGAGCTTAAATTCCAGGAATGCCATGTATTTGACACTGTGCACACATGTAATTTATGTGTCATTCTTATCTGGTTAACAGTATCTGCGTTATAGCTCTGTTTGAATGCAGCACCACACTTAGGAGTCACATTAAAGCATCAAATCAAACATCTAGTCATGTTTTTGTGACTGCAAAGTGCCAAGCAAGCAGGGAATAATTAAAAACATGCATATCACGTGGCACCCATGAGACACAGAGGAAGATCAAATGGCCTCTTTGACTTCCCATAAAGAGACCCCAAAATGGGATCATGGATTTAGAGTCACCCCAGGAGGCCAACCTAAACAACACCGTGCCAAAGAGGAGAAACTGGAGGCAGCAAACATCTCGGGGAGAGAAGCGTGTGGAGTGGGACATGCTTTTTTAAATCACAGCTGATAGCAAAACTAGATCAGTGGAAGGTTTGATGGTATCACTCACCTCACACTTTCTCTCGCTGTGTTTTTATATACTCTGTCTGGCTGTGAGCCCAACAGCCCCATGCAGAGAGATAACAATGTGTTTTAGGTTAATGCTTCATTTATGGGCAGCTGTACAGGACAATGTTTCCCCTCATTTTGTCCCTGTGCCCTCACAAATAAAATGCAACTTTCCCATCTTGTAGGATTAGAGCTAATTATTGGCTCTTTTGCAGATTTGCTTCATATACTGTACACGGCTGTAGACTACTGTGACAGTATTTCCTATAAGCACACTCGTATGCTCATGTTTACATGCACACACTCATGCAAAGGCATGCACATTTTAAGGAGCCATCTGGTTCCAGTTGTAAGGCCCCTTGGCCCTGCTTCTCACCCATCCAAAAAAAAGGAGCACTGTCTACGTTTTCAACCAAGAGGGAGCATTTTTTCTTGCTGTGTTTACAGGATAGAGGGAGAATGGTGAGCATACAGACTGACCAAGGGACAAAACCATATTCCTGTGGAAAACTTGGGTCCTATAGCCTCATTATCGAGTTTCAAGGCAGTAAATAACAATATTCTGTCGCTTTTATTCATCTCCATTCACTTCCGACAACTCGCCAAACTCCTGTCAGAAAAATCAGATGATTGCTTCACAATTGGTTTAACTTACATTTTACAGTCAGCTCATAACAAAATATAGTTTTTCAGAGTGGCACATCATGACATATGAGTCGGACCGCTATGAGTGGATGCCATGTGAACCATACCACTCTGGGGTTTACCACTGCTGTGAGACCGGAGCAGTCCGTGCTAAAGTGGACAGGTGTGTAACCTCAGTAGCCACAGACTTTAAACAGCTGACTGCTTGAAGGAAGGAACATTTG